TTTGAAAAAGTAAGAATTGATGTCGTTATTGTGGCTTACCACAGTTGGTTAAAAAACGTTATTATCATGAAATTAAGATCGCGACAACACATTTTAAAAGCTGCATTCTCTTTTTAGTTTTTAATAAAATAAAACAAAAACTTTTTAACGATAAGGTTCTTTATTTTTACAAAAAAATAAACAACAAAATATAGAATATAGTTTTGTAAGTTACTAAACCAAAATCTGTTAAATATTTTAACTTAATGTAATTTTACAACTTTGTAATCGACTATATATATAAGAAGTGGTAACACCATACTGTAATCCATATTTGTTTAACATTGTTATGTGTTAACAGGGAATCGATATATCTTGTTTTTCAACTTTTATCGCCCTGCGAACACTAATGAGATTTTTGTTTGTGTTTTACAAGATCTACAATGGAAGAGTTAGGCCGTAAAAGATGGTGCCCAGACAGACCGCATGTGAAAAATTCTCCACGTCCTCGACCCTGCCTCGAAATTGAGTCTACCAGAGCAGCAGGATGACGCTTTTATCAATTTGGCCCGGTAAATTATTCGAATAAGACAAGAGTACACAAATTTAAAAGCTACCAATCCTACAAGCAGATAGCCTAACTGTTTCTCCAGAAGAGTCAGATAGTTTAATATATCTTGAATCTACAATAACGGAGACATAATCCATGTGCACAAAAATTAAAACAAGACCATAACCATATAATCAAAGCTATATGAATTGATCAATAGCAAAAGTCTACAAAAAAGATGAAGGTAGTGGAGAGATTAAGAGTACGTATTACAGTATAGTACTTGTTTCTCAAATCTGACAACACTGACTGAAGTTTTCCCGTCAAAGTGTGTCGGAGCTAACTTTTCTTGGTCTGTAAGTCGCCAGAGCATTGATAGCTTAGTAAACATTTTTTTGTGTTTCCGGAAATAACTTTGCAAACTCAAACCACAAGCTTTCTCAGTTTTGTTGCCTGGATTGTGAAAGTAAAGTGTTTGAAGGGATAAAGATGGCACCGAAGCTAAAGTATGGTTATAGCTTTAATGTCGGTGTCTGCCTGGAGTTGCACTCTATCGACAAGTTTATGGAATTTTGGTTCGGAGGGTAAGAATACTCATAGCAGTGCCGGACAGTATTCAAGTCAGAGATTCAGGAAAATCTTACAGCAGAAGGAAAAGGAAAAAACCGAAAAATAAACGAGCAATTATTTATTGTGACCATCGTCACAATGCTGGGGCTGCAATTTTTAATCATATTTTTAATTTATTCCATTTAAAATATATGCTCTCCACCTCAAATTAGTATTGTAGTGTCTTACCCATAATACTTTTCCTTTAACAATGGAGTCTTGCCGGTCATCTATTTAGCTCCTTTCAGGGGAAATTTTTTAATTGAAATAACTCGACTTCCGGTTTTCATCAAAAGTTCGTGTATAGTTAATAGGGGCTTCCAAACCTAAGCTTCCCATATAACGGTATTAGATAAATAAATCCTTTTTTCTGGGATTCTTTCAACTCTAATTCCATTCTTATCATTATATATAGGTTAACTATATGGTTGTATATTACACGCCATTATCCATTCGAAGATTTTTACCTCGTAGCATCTTCATTATATTTCTTCGGAAAAACGCTGGTGCTTGGCTAGTTCATTTATATTTCTATTACTTATGTTATTTAACCTAATTAGTTTTGCTTTGTTTTTCTACCGTTTCAGTACTATGCCCATCACTAAATCATTTATTATTATTACTTTTTTAATTCTGAAATATAAACATTTACCTAATATGTTTTGCTGCACATTTTAATCATATCTGCTATTAGATAAATAAAATTCAAGAGCAATTTCATTTATCTAACACCGTTCTCGAGATTAAGGGAAGACAGGCGGACGGACGACAGTGGGAATTTATGTGTACAATCTTTTGAAATTGCAGCCCAAAAAGGAGAAAATAGAGTGAAAAATCTTCAGTTTCAGAATGAAGATGTCGATAACGCGTGGAATATGATTAAAATGCGCAATAAAACATATTAAGTAAATGTCTATATTTCAGAACAGTATAACAAGGGAATTCGAGTTGAATGAATTCCAGAAAAAAGAAGGAATATTTCAGATTCATCTCTTAGTTATGTTGTATGCTGTCCCATCTGATATTTGAATGCACGTGAATAGAATGTTGTAGATGAGAATGTCTCTATAATTAACAATAGTAGTATAAGTTTTTTTTTTAGTTTGAAACTTTATCCTCTCACAAGTCAGAGCTGTAGGCTACTACTTGAGTACATATATTCGGTAAATACTCGTAAATATAGCTAATGAGTAAATAGCTTAAGCTATATAATGGAAAAATAAGTTAAATTTTTAAATTGACAATAGTCGTGATGAATTTTGTCTGAAGAAATATATCGTCAAGATTTACGTTTAGGAGTTTCAAAGCACTGTTTTCTGACAGAATTTGTAAATTACACTTTTTGTCCAGTGTAAAATATTTATGTTTTTTAAAAACCAACCTCCAAAATTCTACTTAGAATCTTATAAAAATTTAAGTTTATAGTACTATTTATGACAACAGTAATTAATGAGTTTCGATGACTTTCACTACCAGACTTCGAAATCAAAGAATAAAAGACAAATTATGAATGATGACTATAACAATAGATATAAATGAATTCCAGTAGAAATTTTAAGACAGTAAAGTAAACTCAACATGCAATTATTTACTGTGACATCGTCATAATGCCGGGCTGCAATTTTTGATTATCTTTTTAATTTATTCCATTTAAAATATATGCTGTCCATCTCAAATTAGTAGTTGCTTTGCCCCTGTACAGTATGTTTAACAATAGAGCCGTGTCGGTCATCTATCTAACACCTTTCAGAGGAAACATTTTGAATTAAATAACATGATTTTCTATTTGTATCAAAAGTTCATATTTAGTTAATCATGGCCCCTGCCCGTATCTATCTCGATTTTTATTTATCTAACTCCGTTCTCGAGATTAATTAAGAAAAGACGGGCGGACAAACGGACGGATGATAGTGAAAATTTATATTTGATTTCTTGCGACTAGAAGAGAACACTGGGAAAAGATTAATCATTAATTTGAAGTAAAATTTAAAAATTCGATATATGTAGCTAAGTTATAAATTTTTATAACTTAGCTTTAAAAGTATATTATAAAGTTTTAATGATTTGTCTGGTAATGTCGAGTTAATCCTGAATAAATATATCTATGAATATACATTTCTTTTCGATTGAAGTGTATAAAAACTTTTCAAACCATTTTTTCTTGCCTTATTTAAACGTTAAAAACACCTTGAATGAGAAACGTAAACAAATTTTCAACTAAAGTTTTGTATTAACTTATCATTCATCTTGATGTTCAAACTAATCGTTTTTTAATCAAAGTTCTGAAATGATCGAATGTTTCAGATAGGCCTATTGTTATTGATTGGCATTGAGAGATTATTTTCAATCATTTCAATGAGTCCTAATTTATAAATCTTTACACAATTATAAATTATATATCGGGAAAAAATACACAGTATACTACTTATTATTAATTCAATATAATTGAATACTTTATATGTTTGCATGAAATTCATAAAAGTCAGCTTGTTACAGTTCTATATAGTGCGGAATGTTTCTTCTAATAGTTCAGCGCTGTTACACAGAAAATGTATGTAAACGTAAAGCTTTATAATTATAAAATTATTAATTTTTTAAAATTTTCTTTTCGTTAATTCATTACCTGTTTTATTCATATTACTTTGCATTAAACACATTCCAGAAGGCTATAAACAGTTTTATCGAAATAGTGTAAAATGTATCTTGAACTCCGTTACAAAGAATCTTTTTGGAACTTTGCAGCAGGCTGATTTCCAAAAGATCGTTTGCGGTGAAATGCACAAAACGCTCCATTCCAATTTAGAATTTTTAATTTTGTTACTAGTAATAAAATCTAATACATAGTAAAATGTAATTTATCACTAGACGTTTAATACTAGTAATAAACCTTCCTATTATACTTTCCTTGTCTACCGACAAATTCGTTTCATTTTGTTACGCTTTTATTTTATTCCTCATACTGTGTGCTTATAATAAAATAACAGCATGACAATTATAATACGGGTCTAGAGTGCTTTGGAAAACATTTCCTGTCTACTATCTCAGCAATATTTAATCAATAATTGAATATCAGTAGCGTTAATGATTTCAGATTATAAAACTTTTTTTGATTATAACGCTTACAAATTCCAACGAACGACAACAAAGCAAATATTAAAATGATAAAAACCTGTTACCAAGTTAATATACAAGCTAAATATTAGTTCATTTCTAAGAAACGTTTTATAAAATTCAGATTAAAAAAAAATTCTAATCGTATGATTAAAATGGAAAATTTTTTGTCTATTTTAAATATATTAACGTTTTACTGTAAAATTTATTTTTAACAACGATTTAGTAATTATTGCATATTAAACAGACCAAGTTATTTTTAAAATTATAAGTTTACGAGAGAAATTTAGAAATGCGCTGACTACATGTTATCCCTATATATCTTGTAGCTTGCCAAAGTTATATTTAGTTTTGAAAGACAAAATCATTTACATTCAACAATTTTTTCGTGTGTTTTCAGGAAAATTATCTGCTTTTAACTTTCATTTATGTAGGAAAGATTTTGTCAACTTGCCTAACGTATATGTTGACTGACAGCCACTCTAGAGCTGTCCAATTTGTACAGTACATTTTATCTCTAAATTCACTAAACGTATATAAATAATTGTGTATTATTTAAGCAAATATATTTTTAAAGCGATATTTAAACGGTTCTAGAGAGTTTCTACTCTATTAAATAACTAATACATTCTCATCAATGTATCACTGAAAAATGTATAGCCTGATAAATAAATGATAACATATGTCTCACGTGATCTAACGGGAAATTACTCAAATGAGTCCTAAGTGCAGATTCGGTAATTTGATAATATAATCTATTGAAAAGGGAAAAATTCACATGATGTTTGACCAATTCTAACACACAGGACAGTCTGTTTGATTTGTTTTCACTTCTTATGAAAGTGTTGTTTTTATATCTATCTTTAATATACGAGAGATGAAATTCGTTTTAGCTTTGCTTACCGTAAAGTTTTTGAGTTTATTAGCAGAAGCGGATGGACGGTTTTATCGTAAGTATAAAACATAAATAATTAAATTTAAGTTTAAAATATTTATTAGTAGTTCTTTAATTTCAGATCTTCGATCTATTCGAAGCAAAACGCTTCCTTTAATTCAAGAGCAAACTGTCAGAGATATGATTAAACGTTTAGTGGGAGATAGAGCAAACGAATTCTTAGTCGAAATAATTCCTCAGTTTGGACTAGTTGATAAGGATATATTCAAAGTAATATAACTATATTTATTTTTCCTCTTTATTTTATAATATTGTCTTATTCTCTAAATAAATTAATTTACTTCATTCATTTTAAAACTTTAGGGTATAGCCTATATATTTCTCGTATAATCAATATTATTACAATTACACAGAATCTCGGATATTCGAGGTTCTACTGTAATTATATACTTATAATTTAATTTAAGTATTAAAAATAAAATATTGTTAATATGATAGAGATGTTTTGAGTCGCACTATTATTTTCTTACTTGTTAGTCATATCCGCACATTAATCACACTGTTTAATTTATTTAAATTGATGACAAATAACGATTTGATAATTAAATAACACGAATTTAAGACATTTTGCAGGGTAATTATAATTAAACAGAAGGTGTTTGGAGCACTGTGTAGAAAGAACTGTCGTCTAAATTTAACCAAATTTAGACGACAGTATGTGTACTTTCCTGACCATGGAATTTCGATTTCGCAATATAAAGTTTTCTTCAAAGTTTCTCAATAGGAAAAATTTGGCGCTAATGTCGCTGCAGTTTGCATATTAGATTGTATTGCCTAAAAGTTTTTTGACAACTTGAGAAGTTCAGACATAAAGTGCAATGATTTTATTGCAATTTAGTGCGGTGTTTACAGATTCCGTGAGTTGCGTGTGATTCTCCATATAATAATTTTACAGCATCAAATTACATACATAGAAATGTTCAAGTATCCAACAAATGAGACTAACGAATATAACTTACTGTAAGAGCCTTCTATCTCATTGTCCTAAAACGATGTTTCTCACAAGTTCGTGGGCACATAGATTTTTCACAAATTTGTCCCAGTGTTCCACGAAAAAAATTTAATTTTTTATTGCAAATTTATTCCAATATACTACAGTGTATTACTTTATTCGTAGACAATTCCGTGTTTACTATATTATTCAATACAATAAAGTTTATTAATTTATTGCATGCTTCGTGAAAATAGTAAATGTGGAATTGCTTATCGATTTTTGAATGTACTGTATGTAGTATTTATGCTAATAATCTGCTTAATAAAAAGTATATGAATGATGTTCCGCAGCTTCAGAAAGATTGAGAACCACTGAACCAGCATGATTTCGCTAAACAACACATCTGATGGAGGAACATAAGTGATTTGGATGCAGATATCTCACATGTAACGAAATTGTCTTTTAATACAGCTAAGTTAGGAACATCGTCTTGATAAACAAGGGTCTTCAAGTATCTTCTTAACCAAAAATCACAAGAATTTATGTCTGTGATCGTGGTAACCAAGCTGTTGGAAATTACCGGTTAATCACTCTTTCATTTGTGAAGTCCTGGCGCAATAACCTTTTCATATTAGTGCCGATATGCGGGGTGCTCTATCTTGCATAATGATTGTGGTTTTCATACTAGTGGATTGACAGAACATGCCACTGGTCCATATGTAGTGTTTCCTTCAAAAACAAAATAATTAAATAATTAAAATACGGTCTAATTATGTAGTATATAGCAGCGGATCCAGAAGAATCCAAAGGAAACAGGTAAGAATCTCCAAGCACCGGGTCGACAACATCATAAAGTAGTCACATCTTTGAAATGAGAAGACACAAGTTGAATAAAATAAAATTTATTGAAAACTTAACACATACTGAAGATGAGATACACAAGTACATTTCCTCACAAATTTACATGACACGAACATTACAGTTCATTAAGAAAATGTTCCCTAATCTTATAAGGAGAGGAAGTGTCAGGATAGGTTTCACTATTACGTCTCTACTTCTGTTATCTACTGTCTACTATTGGAGGTTTTTCCGGAAACTATTCTATTCTGTTATACGTTTAGAACCTTTTTTATTAACTTAGAACAGTGTTTCTCAACGGGGGCGATATCGCCCCCATGTGGGCGTTTTTCCATGTTGAGGGGGCGATTAGTAACAATTTATATTTCGGGGGGCGAAAAATAATTTTCTGGGTGATATAGTAAAACATTATATTAAGAATAATTAAATATTTTATTCGTTATATCGTACAATAATTAAACAAATAACATTATACTAGTCACTAGTCTATTAGATGCAGTACGAATTTGGCGTTAGCCTTGTCCCTCGGCATCAAAATTTTGTAGTGAAGGGGGCGATACTATGTAACGGTTTTATTGAAGGGGGCGACGATTCGTTAGAGGTTGAGAAACACTGACCTAGAACATTGATTGGATCGTACCAGAATTCTGTGCAATCAAATCCGTCTGCGTTCTACATTAAAACTATCTTTTAATAATCTTTCAAAAACATCTCTTTCAATCGAACTATCTCCGTTTCTTTCGAACCATCAGTTTAAACTTGATGACGACAGAAAAATTATTATTATTATTTTTAATTCAGGGTCGTGTGATCTATGTCTGATTCTGACAAAGAGTAACTGAAAAATTAAAAAAAAATATGAATAATCATAAGTAGGACCTACCTTTCATTAACATACACAGTACATAACGATTGTAGTGCGGATGGTACCATAAACCATATTTGCCATCATAAATGTTTTTAAAAACAACGTTTTGAAGTTCGAATAAATAAATTTTTTGTGTCAATGGGAGAGCTGAAGTCTGCAGTCTCCTTGGATCCACTCTTCGAAGGGTGCCGTAAACCCGCACCACACTGATTTTTAGTTGATGCAAAGGAATTTGATGATAAACACGTGGGTCTTCTCCACACCAAATATGGCAGTTGTAAGTATTCATCATACCGTCCAAGTAAAAGCGAGGAGGCCATTTACTGCTGCACAAAGTAGTTGCAACTTCTTCCAGTTTAGTCAATTCCGGTTTGCGACCGTTTCTGATTTCATATTGAAAATTTTCGTTTCCTCAAAAAGCAGCGTCATTTGTTTTGAGATTATTAACGGTCAAAGGATGTTTTCGGAAGGACTTTAGACGCTTAAACGGAATTTCTTGAGTGAAGTTCTAGCTTTGCTGCTTCTTTGGCAGTACGATTTAACTAGTAATACGGAATCAAATAATGTAATTACATGATGTCAATTTGCATCGAACATGCTTTTCAATTCTTTATAAACTCCAAAGTTTTTCCACAATTTATGTAATATATAAATTGCAGCGATATTACCGCCAAATTTCCTCTTATAAAAAAATTTTGGAATTAAACCTTTTATTGCAAAATTGAAATGCCATGGTCAGGAAAGTATACACACAAATTTGATTGAATTTGGTCCTATGGTTCTTTCTTCACAGAGTTCTAAACTTTGTTTAATTATAACCACCCTGTATATCAGTGATACGCAAGCATTTCGATTGGCGGGCCAAATTGTCATATAAGTCACAAGTAATCGAGTCACAAATATGTTTAGCTCGGGGGATGTAGTTTGGGCAACGCTGCTGTACTGTACATGTTATGGTTAAATCCCATGAATCGGATAAAGATAGAATTAACTGGCTAAAACTAACTTTATCCAAGTCTTAAAGCAAGTAACAATATATTAATTTTGAACTTTATCTACATAAAGCATGTTGATTCCAAGTCATAAGTGAATAAAGTTGACATTATTCAAAAAACGGATGGATAAAGCAAGAACAAGATTTAAAATTCGGGCTATATCCACTCCAGTTTGGATAAACTGAGAAGAAATGTGGATAAAGCTAGAATTTTAGCTGGATAATGTGCGATTTTTCAATACAGGTTGAATGGATAAAATAAAGGAATTTCGTTTTTAAATCAAATAGAATTTATTGTTTTTTATTGCATAAAAAATAAAATAAATGAAAATAAATGCTACCAGTTTTTTCATTCAAACATTACCAGATTTAGCTAAAAATCGTACCTTTACAACTAAAAATTATAGATTTAGTTTTAAATTACAGAAAGTATTTTTATTTACATAATATCGATATGTACTGTCCTAATATCGATATATTGTTCAGGTTTTTTAGGACATGTTGACTTTTCCGCAGTAGTCACATGTCGACTGTTTTAAGCCTGTCAAGCACTAAATGCTTTGGACGAGCGCCAATCATTTCCGTAGCATTCGTCCAACGGCAGTTGAAACACTTGTCAGATGAGTTAAAATTATTATATCAGGAAATATGTTCAGCAAAATTAAATAACTTTTATATTGTATTAATATGTTATGTTCTTCAACAAATATTATTATTGTTCTAACGAGATTTATTTAAGCAATATATAACAGAAGTACTAAGCAAGAATGTGTGCGCCATTACGGACCGCACGTTTCGGTAACGATTCTAGAAGCGACACTTCTAGAATCGTACGGAATAGTGGAAATACAGTCATGTTAAACATCGTAGTCGAATTAGCACATTGCCATTGTTTTATTGAAGTCAACAGCACGTGCTATTTCCCATTGATTTGAATAAAGATCATATTATTAACCGGATTTTAAGATTTGTTCTTGCTTCATCCATTCGTGTGTTTAGCTTTATTTATCATTAATATTAGCTTTGTTTGTTTCTGACTTGGATAAATTGTGCCTTATACAGATAAAGTTTAAAATTAATAGATTTACTTGCTTTAACCAAAAGTTAGCTTTAGCCGATTAATTCTGCTCCGACTTGAGTTTTAGCTGTAGCATATACAATTCAAATAAAGGAAATGTGCCAAATACATAATCTTAATCAACCCGTTTTGATAAATAAAATTAATAAAGAAACAAAAGACGAGTTTAATAAATGAACTAAGTGTATGTGCACTACAGATCATTTAGTAAAATAACTAATTTCAATGAGCAGATCAGGGAAAAAAAACCAGTTGCTTTCAATGCCAGCACAAAGCGCACTCAGTTTTCCATCATTGCAACGATATAGCTACCTCACTGTTGCCAATTTTGTAATGAAGAATACAAATTTACTTTCGGATAAAAAATTATCTTAGTTGAAAACGGTACAAATGGTATGTAAATAACGTTGTATAATATTGTTTTTCGGAATAATAGAGAGAACTCGTAAGAGTTGCTTTTCCGACATTTTGAACGCATGCACTGAACGTTCAGTAATTCTTTGCTATATTACATCATTTCTTGTACACTAAAAGAACTAGTATTGCCACTCAAGTTTATTTACTGAACTCGTCTAAAGTTTAAGTACTTTATAAAATATTATAGTTTCATGGGGAAAATATTATAGTTTGGTATATAAAATATTTAGATTGAATCTGAAGATGAGTTTATTAAAATCTCTGCAAATACGGGCGTGGCTGCAGCGTGGGGATTTCAGCATTATTTAAAATATTATTGTAATTGCCATTTCTCTTGGTCGGGAAATCAGTTATATCTTCCTCAACCTCTTCCTTCAGTTATTCCTGCATTAATCGTTACATCTAATGACAAGTAAGTTCCCACACTTTCTCATAGTAAATTCTCGTACTTTTGAAATATACTGTTCTTAAAATGTTTATACTTTATAGGTTTCGTTATTATCAAAATGTTTGTACACCTAGCTACTCGATGGTGTGGTGGAATTGGACTAGATGGGAAAAGGAGATCGATTGGATGGCTCTAAATGGTATCAATTTGCCTTTAGCCTTTACAGGGCAAGAAGCTATTTGGAGACGAGTAAGTAAATAATCGATTGTGATATTATAAATGCTATTATAAGCGTAAGTGTCGTAAGGGTTCTTTCAGACGTTTCTTCGACTAAATTTCACGAATGATGATGTTAACGACTTTTTTACCGGTCCAGCCTTCTTAGCATGGTGAGTGTTTAGAAGTAAATAAATAAATAAATAAATCTCGATTATTACAATACTGTATTGAATAAATCAAACGATTTTATGCAAGATACTGTATCTCGAGTCGACAATAATAAATGAATTATTTAAATGTCATTTAAAGTTTAATAAAATTAATTTAGTTTATACAACTTATTTCAAAATAAACATTAATCTATTTGATGACTTACTTTTATTATAAAATATAATGAGAAATGAGTAAAATGTAGACTATTTATATAGGCCTACTGTTTATTAAAAGAATGTTAGATTAAATTTACATTGTCTTACAAAACATTAATCTTTATACATATTTAATAGTGTTTGGAATTCGTATTTGTGGAGAATTTTTTATTTCGAGTGATATTTATCAATGTTATTTTTTCCAGGAATAGAATGGGTAATGTCCAGAAATGGGCTGGCCCTTTATCCGTGAACTGGCATTTGCAGCAAATGTATCTACAGCATAAGATTTTAAATCGAATGAGAAATTTTGGCATGACACCCGTGCTTCCCGCTTTTGCTGGCCATGTGTTACCCGCAACCCCTCGGTAAAACTACTATGTAGAAATAATGAAAATTCTGAAATCATATTATTATATTGTTCGGTTTCAAAAATCATATATTCTATTACTAAATTATTCTATAAAATTTCTTCAAAATAATTATCTTAATGTTTTTAATTTCTCAGCGTTTATCCTAAGGCCAACGTTACTGCGATTTCTTGGGGAAGTTTTACACCACCTTACTCAAAGTAAGTACTGTCAAAAAGTACTACTAAGTTCAAAAATTTCCGGACAAAATCAAATACTATCATGTTCAAACTAATCTATCATTTTTGGCAACCACGCACTTCTGCCAGCGTCTATAGAAGTCTATGAAACATTTTAAAAATCATCCTTTTCCACTTATTTAACATGATCACGCATCGGTCGTGACCTCTTCAGCAGTTCGGAAATGTTGCCCTTCATATAGTCTTTCATTTTAGGAAAGAGGTAGAAATCACAGGGTGCTAAGTCAGAGGTGTAGGGAGGATGAGGCAGCATCGTCATACCATGATTTGCAAGTTATTCTCTCACTAGAAGCGACCGATGTACAGAAGTATTGTCATGTTGCGGTACCCAATCTTCTGCCTGCTCTCCTTTCCGGTTATTTCCGACTGATGGCATCGCGCAGACGAGCAAGCACTTCCATGTAGTATCTTTGACTGGTGACGCAGTCGTGCCATTGGGAATAAATGCACGATGCCTTTCGAATCGAAGCATTACTTTGCCATTTGAACAGTTCTGTTGGAACATTTTCGTTTTGGGGTTGTCTTCAGCTCAGACTGGCAATACTGCGTTCTTCGATGAGTTTCTTAGGGATGATGTTTGATAGTCGCGATACACCCGCAGGCCTTCCATAAGGATAACATGGTAACTTTTCAAAGAAATTCCTATCTCCTCTGCAATCATTACAACACATCCGACGATTAGTCAAACAACTCCGTACATTATTCGCAACCATCTGTAGTGTTTTTGTAGCCGATTTCACAAACGCTGACATAAAATTTCAGCTCAAAACGATTCATTCCAGCAATCCGACGAAATTGCCTGATACAATATTTTCAGAATTTTAAAATGCTTTCTCTGTTTTAAGATTTGAAAACCTCTGACATGTTTGCGATTTGAACGAGGACATCTTTTTGGAACCAAAATGAAACAAACTAGTTAATAAAATAAAATACCGTTTATATTTGCAGCAAATGTCAGGAAGTAACATCTCGGGTAGGGAAATCAATACTTAATTTTGTTTCACCATAGACAATTATTAAAGTACTGTCATAAGAATAAATCAAATATTAAACAAAATCTATACTTTTATATCATCGTTAGCCTTTCTTTATACTTTAATAGAAGAAAATACCTTGAATATTGAAGAAAAGAGTATGTTCTCCCTCCACCTCAGTCCATATTGGGTATGCAGAACAGCTTTATTTGCCAGACAGAAACACTTAACGACAATCGAATGAGGCACGGCTTTAGTAGGGTTGATACTGAATGATGAGGTCTACATTTACATTTGCCCCATAACCCCAATTTCAATTTATTTATTTATAGTCAATCCATCCTCATTTAATGCTTTCTTGAATTGCAGAAACAATTCTGTCTGAATCAGACCCGTCTAAAACAAGTAGCTGTGGACAATGTCAATTACGTTTCTTTATTTCGCTGTAGTAACAAATATCAACCTCTAGAATTTTAACATTCGAATTGTCCGTGCATTTGTAAATAAGAAGACTATTAAAAAACACTATTTTTATATTATTAACAAGTTTTTGTGGAGAAAGAGTCCTAAAATTTCTCTGATTAGACCTGTGCACTTGGTCATAATGCAGCTTGAAATCGTTTAAAACATTTCTGTCTGAAGTTTTGCTTCCATCCACCCTACGCGACTTTCTCATCGGGCTTTCATATGCAACTTAAAAATTCAATTAAATAATCAACAGTTTGAAATGATGAATGTTCAGCAATAAAGACTAAAAGTTTTAGGTCATTCTGCAGATTCCTGGTGTTAGTTTTAAAAATTGTTGATTACCTGCTGCTTCTTCCCAGAATTGTAATTCTTCTTATGCTTTTCGGTGTTCGCATAATCTTCCAGATCTTTTTCCGGGCTGCAAGAGTCGTGTTGCGTACTTTACAAAACGTTTTACTTGGTTCTCCTTGCACCTATCTCAACCAGCTTGAAAATAAAATCTATATTAAGCTTATACTGATAATGATGAATATGCACCTGCAGGGTGTAACTCTATTAGTGCCACAAATTGTTTGATTGTCGCGCTTTCTGCGAGTCACTAACCGAGAATTTACTCGGTTACGTATAGCACAAAAATTGCCCTCTATCTTTGACCTGTGCTTATTGAGGTACTGTGCAGTACCTTCGATATTACTGACGAAATCATATTAGTCCGGAAACTTTTTGAATCTAATGGTATTTATATTTAGCCTAAATAAAATTCGATTATTCTCTGCACAGTGTTTACTTCTTGAGTCCAACTGATCCCTTATTTCAGACATTTGCTACTACTTTTTTAGAAGAGGTATTTTTTAAACCGATTATTTCATTAATCGTGGTTCATAAAATACATGGTTCAGTTTATTCTTTCTGTTACAGTACATTTCTGAATATGGAACCGATCATATTTACAACACTGATTTGTTCAATGAAATGAGTCCACCTTCTAGGTTAGTTTTGGATTACACAATTCTATAATAAATATTTTATTATTTTTAAAATCAATTATATTTTAAATTAAAGTCAGCCCTCCTTTCTACGCACATGTGGACAGGCAGTTTTTCGTTCTTTAGTATCTGTGGATCCCAAAGCTATTTGGTGAGTTAGACATTTTGAAAATAATTTAATATATTTAAAAAAAAATAGAATTAAATACTTTTTAAAACATAAAATTAAGTATATTTAATGTAGGTTAATGCAAGGCTGGTTATTTGTAAATGATCCCTCGTTTTGGCAGCCTGCACAAGCTCAGGCTTTGTTAACATCAGTACCAATAGTATGAATAAATCTATTAGTCTTCGTTGATTAGTATAATTTTTATTAACCATGTATTTTTTCGACAGGGAAGAATGCTTATTCTAGATTTAGAAGCTGAATTCTACCCGCAGTATCAGAGACTGGAATCATTTTATGGACAGCCTTTTATTTGGTGCATGCTTCATAATTATGGCGGAGTTAATGGGTTATACGGTTCTTTTTGGGCCGTTAATGCCGTAAGTTAAACAATTCAGTCTCTCTCTTTATTCTAATAATCTTTAAACTAAAACTCATTGAATATTTTAAGGGTCCATTTACTGCTCGAAATTATCCCAATAGTACTATGATGGGAACTGGGCTGACACCAGAAGGAATAGAACAGAACGATGTCATGTATGAGTTCATGAACGAAATGGCTTGGCGTAGAGAGAGTTGTGATCTTCCTTCATGGTAAAATATAATTTTTATTGTCTAAAGTGATTATCTTTGATACCTAATTTCCGTTCTTAATTAATAGGATTTCTAATTATACTTTACGAAGATATGGCAAATTATCTAGTAATCTAACTAAAGCGTGGATAATTTTACAGGTCTGTAATTATCATTTTCATACGGAATATAAATACAATATCATATTAAACGTAAAAACAATTTGTTTCACATAAATAATAAGAGAAATACTTCTGTTTTTATAACTTTTTAGTGATTTAAAAAATTATTTTTAAATTAGTTTAAAGATTATGAATCATTAAACTAATTTAAAAGTTTTTCATTTTAATTATTTTTCTATAGAGAAGTGTTTATAATGCTTCCAAAGCTTTTCGAGATCATGGTAAATATGTTTTGGTACGACGACCTTCATTATCTGCCGGTCCTCAAGTAAGTATACATAAGTTAAATTAGTTTTGAAATTTAATAGTTTAATAATTAATTTTTGTTTTATAGCTTTGGTTTAATAATACCGATGTATACAAGGCTTGGTACTATTTTATCAATGTTTTAGACGACGAACAATTTACTCTAAAGAGCACATTTCTGTAAATGAAATTATATTCTTTTATAGAGGCTTTCCACTATTTACTATGATAAATTGCGAATTTTTAATAGATACGATTTAGTGGATTTGACTCGGGAAGTTCTTCAACTTTTAGTAGCAGAATATTTTGAAGAAGCCAAAACTTTCTTTCGTAAGAAAGATGAAGAGAATCTGAGGTATACACAATAATAAAAATCCCAGAATAGAAATAAATTTTAAATAGAATTTTTAATTTACAGGAAAACTTCTACGATTATTCTGGGAATTTTAAAGGATCTCGAAAATGTTTTAACTTCGAATGTGCATTTTCTGGCTGGAAAATGGTTCCAAGATGCTAGAAATTTAGGAGTTACTCCAAATGTTAGTTATGTCTTTAATTATAAAAATTATACTTTCAATCAATTTATTAACTTTGTGTGTTTTCAGGAAAATAATCTTTACGAATTTAATGCCAGAAACCAGATCACACTTTGGGGTCCAAACGGAGAGGTGAGAATCAAAATTATGTTTTATTTTTTTATCTTTGTAAAATCTTTTTCATTTTAGATATTAGATTATGCTACCAAACAATGGTCAGGAATGATGTCTGGGTAAATATTGCTTAATAATAATAACTACAAAATTAAATTTAACTGATTACAGCAATTATTTCCTAGATATTTTTATCCCCGTTGGTTTCTTTTCCTGAACACACTTCAAGATTGCCTGAGTCAAAATAAGCGCTTCAATCAATCAGAGTTCAACTGGAAAGTGAAAAATTTTGTCGAGGAACAGTTTGCTTACAGTACAGACGTTTATCCATCCCATCCTCTTGGTAAGCATTTCTTTTTCCGTCATGCTATTCAAACAGTGTTAAATGTGAACGAAGTTATTCGTATTTTTAGGTAACACCGTACAAATAGTACGCGATCTGTGGCAAAAATACCATCCGTCAATAATTAAGAAATAAATCTGGTGATAAAAATCCATCAAGATTTTTATTTTCACGCAAGATACAACCAGAAGCTTCTCTTACATAAATGATCTGACTATATATCATGTAAAAGCTTTGAAAGATGACCGTGTTAGTAGAAAATGCAGACGTTATTGTTTTCTGGACCAATCATTATTTTGTTTCGAAACTTCCTTTCACTGAAGAAGAAAGCTGGAATGAAGTCGCTTTTTTCCGAATGCTGATAATAATGATTGGCTATTTAGTTGATTCTACTTCCGATAGAATAAAATATAATAAAAATCTAAGTAAAAAGTCTAAAGACTCTTTTTTTCACTCGATCTTCGAATAGATGAGAATCCGAAGTTGGCTTTGATCTTCATCTTAAATCACGTCAGTCGGAGTCGAGAAGCCGAAGTTGATGAAAATGGGTTAAACTCTTCCTCCTTTCGTAACAGTCCTTTCGATGATGGTTACTGTAAAAATAGCAATTGGGTGATTAGCATGAGGATTTTTCATTAAAAACGATTTACTTAGATGGACAGTATGTGGAATGCATTGTCACAATCTATTATTTTATTTATATTCTCTCTGTAAGGAAGAACTTACTATGAAGCGCCGCACTCTTGGTTTGGGCTTTTCCTTAGGCTTCAGAACCTCTTCTTTAATTGCTTCGAATTTCGCCTTCAAATTCTTGGCCGTATCAGCTTGTGGTAAATATTCATCCTCTTCGTTTCTATCTGGTTCCAATTCTTTCATTTCTGCTTCCCATTTTTCGAACTTTTCGCGAAGTAGTTTGGCCTTATCCGCTTCTACTACTATGTCGTCTTCTACTTTATAACTTGACCTTACAATAGAGGGATCTCTCTCGGGTTCTGGCGAAGAATCCTTGTCTTTGTCTTGTCGAGTAAATTCGCGTGGGGGTGTAATACGCTTCAAAGGTTTAGGCCCGCTGGGTTTTGGAGCCGATTCTTCTCCATTCTCCAGCGCTTTAAACTTGTCTAACATGCGTTTTGCTGTATCCGTCATTGGTATATCATCAACGATACTTCCAGATCTCACTACGTTAGGATCGCGTGGAATTTCTACTTCAGGCGATTCTTCTTTCTTGGTTTCTCGAGGTGGCGTGATCTGAAATCGTTTTCTTTCTTTCTTTTCCTCTTTGAAGTTCTCGAAAAACTTAAATCTTTCGCTAACTTCCGTAGTTTCAACTTGAATCTCTTCTTTTTCGGCTGGTTCGCTGCACTTGACGACTTCTCCATCGACAGATGACTGAGTAGAAAACGTCCTGGAACGACTTCTCTCTACAGAAGGCGACTTGTTAGTTCTAATGGGAGGAAGAGTCTGAACGTTGGCGTCTATCTGTTTGAACAGACTTCTTGCTGTAGTTGCTGTGCCTGATAGATAATATATTGTTAGAGATTTTAAATACAATTCCGACAAAATCAAAATAATTACCTGGTTCCGTAAATACACTCAAATCTTCTTCTCTTTCTTTACGGATTTTTTCTACTTTTTCCAATACTAAGTACTTATCTTCTACATCCCCCTTTTCGAATTTCTCTTTGATGTGCCCGGCTTTGATATCCCTTCCTAGATTAATCGTATCACTCCTTCTAGGTCCCATTCTGCCAGAATCTTGACACGCCTTCTCATAGACCTGTCTCATAGATTCCGACCTTCCTAAACAAAGTCTCTGTCTGATACGATTAACTTCATCTTTGATTTCATCTTTTCTTTCTTCTCGAGTTCCCAGCGCACCTGTTTCCCATTGCGATTTCAAATTATCCATATCGTGAAAAGCTACCTATAAAGAAAGTGAATTTTAACAGGTACTATAATCTTGATACACAATAAACGATATAGAAATCGTACTTTTTCCCGTTTTCTGCTCTCTCTAACAACGGAGGGGTCCCTATCTTCGTCGTCTTCGCTATCAGAATCTTGTATATCACCATTTTCGTTTTCTCCGGCAATCGCAGATTGATATCTGTAAAAGAGAAGATCAACATTAATGAAATGTAAAACACTTTCTACTTATTTAAAAAGCTAAACTCACTTAGCCAATCTGAGCATAAGACTATCACATCTCTGTAATCGTAACATATCGGTATGAGAAGGAAGCTTATATTCTTCCCCTCCTGATTCAAACCTGGATTTTATATTAGTTAAATCTAAATTTATATTATCCAATATATCATCGGCTTTAGAATTACCTGTCAAATAAATAGATCAAACATCAATTACTATTCTATTTCTGCTCGGAATAAAATTCAAAGTAAACAACTCAAAAGTGGAATTCAATCACATTTTTTTTCTTTTTTCTATACATTTTATAGTAAATATTTTGATTGAAGAGTCAAGCTAAGTCATAACAGATAAAGATAATAAACAGGTTTGTTTAGAATAAGATGAGAAATTACTTACTGCGAACAACATCGGGTGGTAGTTCAGCTGGGATGTTTTCTCTTATAATCATTTCATGCTTCCTGGGTCTCTCTGAAAAAAGTATTTTATGTGGTTTCGAGTTTATAATGAGGTTTTTTTTAAAAATTAAATATTACATACTTGGTGCTGCGTCATCTTCAAATTTAACTTTAGGCTGAAAAAGTAATTTGAAATGCTGTTTGCAATATATATCACCTTCGTGAGAGGAATAGCTGTCCACTCTAAAATGAAGCATTATTTTATTTTTAATGTTTCAATTTAAACGTTTTTATTAAATAATTTAATATATTTACTAAATTAATTTTAATGAGTAGAAATATACGAAAAAAAAAAAAAACTAACGTTAAAGCTTTGTTGCACTCCTTGCATCTGAAGCAAGATTTGTGAAAAATGTTCTTTTCCGCTTTGACTTTTTCCATTTGATAAACGAATTTTCCACATATTTTGCAGAGAGTGTTATTTTCTTTTCCAGCCTATAACAAAAAATAAATATTGTTTTAACTAAAAAATTTCTGACATCGTAACTAATGCTCTTTTGCTGACAGGTTAAATAAACAAGTTTACTCGAATAATTGGAAGTACTTAAATTCCCTTCTCTCTTTTAATAGAATTCGAAAAAATAACTGTTCTAACCTGGCTGAAGCGCTTGGCCACCTCATTAGGATCGACGGAAGGTTTGATTCCATCTTGTTCTTCTTCCTCTTCCTCCTCATCTGACAGTTCAACTTGCATCTACAAAAAAATAAAGTTCTAATTCCATCCATATCCAATTTGTTTCTAGGAGGATATTTTACTCACTTTATCATGGTCTTTCGTGCCATTCATTTCATAATTATTGTTTCTCAGGGCGTTCCCGCGCTCCTCATACCTTTTGACATCCTCCGTTTCGCTGGTTTCCGTACTTTTTTTGGACACATAATTCGACCGCTTTTCCACTCTCGAGGTTGTTACACTGTGCTAAAATAGAAAGCCACAAAGATGACGTTTCTCCGGAAAAACACCAGCCATTGGGCCGGAGTAAAAGGGGTCGCTTAAAAATACATTTTCTAAGCTCTAGGTGTTCCGCGCAAACAGCTATTCCTAGACGGCGGCGCCCATTCTGATTACTTTAACTATTTGGGGGAAGACGCGCTTATCCTATTTTTAAAGAGGAGAGAGCACTTATCTGGCTCGGGAAGGAGCAGACCTGCGAGATGAACAATCTGCTGGTGTACATCTTCAGCCGTAGCGACGACTGCCAGATGTTCGTTAACGCGAATTGGTTTTATTACTTCATAATGGGCCTACAGGTGCGGCACACACTTACCGTTCTTTTGTCCAGCTCCGCCATACTCATCTGAAAATGGAAGACAAGTGATCAGAATACGGAAATCATCAAAATCGTTTTTATTTTGAAAGTAAACAAAGAGAAGTTAGCACGCGCATTTCTATTTTTGTACGAGTACAGGTAGTCACGACCCGGCCAACAAACGAGATCGGGGTGACAGCCCACTTTATTCGAGAACAACTTTTATTTAAAATAGAAACATTTTGCAAGTGACGCTATATTTCTTCGATGATGAAATCCTCAGTAAACTTTTCTGCGATTCGATTGCGCCAGATATGATGTCACGAATCGTAAATTTAATCGTGGTTTCCCTCCCACGGACGTAGAGTCACGTTCCACTTCTGACAAAATCCGGAAGTGCGCCGCTTATGGAGGCGGCGCATGCGTCGAGAAGGATTTTGTCACCCTAGAAAACGAAATTCGAGTCTCGGAAATACGAGGGGGTAAGAAAAGTCTTTGACCGAGTTGGAACAAAGATTAGGACGAGAAGACGACCGTTAAAAATAAAATACAGAAATATTAACCTGTCGGAAAAATATACTTAATCCCTTCGCTATTAAACAACTTCGTCCCACTTATTATTATTATTATCCTTAGACGAGGTGGGTCTAAAACGGGCGCCAGTGACGTCAATCACCAACACACCGCTGCTTTGTCCGGTCCAGACACAAATTGCCCCTGTATCGGCATCTTCTCCGAAGTTCGGATATGTTAGGCGGAAGAATTCGCCTTTCCAAAGGAAAGTTTGCCAAGTGGGAGAAGATCAGAGAGTGAATCTGCAGAAATAATCATGTGGAGGCGAATGTCAGATGTCTCTCGACCTTGGCCAATGTTACGTCGACATGTGGAGTGCACGTTTAGTGAGCGACAGCGTGGGCTTAGTTGTTCACATTCCTATAGTTGCCAGGCCGAATCGTCGAATTTGTCTTGGCAATATCGAGGCTCGAACACTTTATCCTTTTTTCGATATAAGTGTTGAACCTCCATAAACGGTGGATAAAATCCTGACGACTCATAAATATTAAATAAGCTGCTCTTCGTACGGATCTCAAACGTATTAAACGTAAAATTCAAGGGCTAATAAAATAGCGAGTGAATTAAGTAGGCTGGCATCTGCCCCAATAACTCTCAAAATAACCTCTACCTAAAATCACTACTAATCACTCACCAAAACAGCGACAATTGGTGGCCTAATTCGTATGTTTTTCTCCCTTTAATTCGCCTATTTGACGATTTCGAAATAATTTCAGTTACGAAAAGCACCTACCTGCTTGTTTGGTCGAAGAAGAGAAGAGATACCCGAACGAACAACTTTGTCTGAAAGGAGAGGCTGTACTAGCGAGACCGAGATGGATCTGCCAAATTTCTCCCTGTCTATAAATAGCACCAATCGAGTTGTGGGCTAGTGACGTCATCCCAGGCAAAATACAGCCAGGTTACTCGACTGTTTATTTCTGGTTGCAACGACCGATCGTCCGAAAGCCCATTTATTTGACTTAATTAAAGATTTTAACGCCATCGTTTAACCACTTTCTTCAAGAATAAATAACTTATGTTTGTAAAAATGACATAGGGAGAAAAGTCTAAATAACTAGTTAAAGAATGAGGTAAACTTTAACAAACTGAAATCTCATAAAAAGTGATTTATAGCTCGATGTATATAAAACTTAATGTATTAAATTCACAAGTTAATAATATTTAACAATACGATTAAGTCGATTGGTGTCTAGTTTAAGTATGTTGTCTTATCTAATAATGAATTCGGCAGTAAAATAAATTGCATAAAATATAACCGTTTATAATATAAAAAAGGGTAAAATAATACAGCAAAAAGCATTATATTTTTCTATCGTTTACAAATGAAAAGCAACACAAAGTTAATTTGCTCTCGTTTGGTAGCGAAGCGACCGTCCGAACAGTTCGCTTCTTGTTGGGGATAACAATTTTCAGTCAACCCGTTATTTAGTTATTATTATTTCACAGAAGATGTGGAAAGATCGGATCGATAACAAGTCTAGCAATTCCATTTGCTGTGGGCGGGTCGAGAATAAGTTTTGCATCGGCAGCGAATTTCCATTAGAAATTGTAGAAAATAAAGAAGGTGTTTGTAAAGAAAGAAGCAGTTTTAAAATACAAAATATTTATTTCATAAGATTTCAAAGTAAGGCACAAAGTTTACATTTTTGATAATAATAATTTGTTTCATAACAAGTGTTTCGTTGTTAAGTGCAATTATTTAAACTGATATTTGCAATTCTCTTATTAAATAAACTTATATTCTGCGGTTTCTGTAAATCTTATCCAAATTAATGAATGTTAGACTCTGGATTCTAGTATAAATAATTTTCGTATTAAAATTCTATAATATGTAACTACATTACTATATTCTGCGTAACATACATTTTAATCATTATAATTAGAACATTAGAATAACATTAATATTTATATTTAGTTCGTTACAAGTGACATCTGTTAAAATTTATTTGCAATTCTTTAAATTGTTTTCATTTTGGAAAGAATTTTAGGATAACGAACGTAAATATATTTTTTAAATTTAATTTTGTTTATTTTATTTTATTTTTTTTAAATTACGTGATTCATATTACATCGATCCAGTTTTTAAATCAATAATTCTATTCATTTTAATTTGTTTATTTTTTGACAATCGTCCTTGGGTGAAAGTTTTTAAATCAACAAAAGTTAAATTTAGATATAAAGATGATTGTTAATTGAAAGTCTAACGTTTAAAAGAAATTTCAAACGATTATTTCATAGAAGTTTCGATGTCATAAATAATGTAATATCAATTAAGCATAATTCTTGGAATGGTATTTAATTAACATTTCTTTCTCTCTTTTATTGCCTGATCCAACGTTTGATAAATTTCTTCTCCACTTTTCTGGCTTTAATTACTGAAGAGGGATCTTTACTATTAGAAGCGCGTAGATCTAAATGATGAGCAGCATCTGGCATAACTAATGCAATCAAAGAATCTGATAATGATTTTAACACGCCTCCTCCCGACCAAGGATCCAATAATCCGTTACTAGAAAAAACAATAATTAGTAGATTTAAATTTAATGTATTCAATTGCGTGGATAAATAAGTTTTAAATTTGCTTTTAACTTAATAACCTAACTATCCATACCTAAAGATAATATTACTAGCGGCTGAAATATTTCTCCCTCCGTAGAAAATTTGTGATCTGAATGGTTCGGGTGTCACACCCCATTTAGTTTTGCAGCCTAACGTTACAGCAGATAGATTCCAACTCGAAGGTTCGAACATATCATCAACACCGTTGCTGCACATTGGCATCACCATTTCGGTACAACTCTAAGAAAAAGAAGCGAATTATTTAAATCTTTGAGCTCAAGAATGACCTAGTTTCTCTTACCTGAAAATCCCAACCGTTTTCGCCTAAAGATGTTCCTCCCGAGTTACTCAAATTAAAACATTGAACATTTCCTGTAAAATTTTGGAAAACTGATACAGCTTTCATCAAATTCTGTATCAAAATATGGTCGGGTTGGGAAGAATTTTTCAAAAATTGACACGTTGCCTTTAAAACAATATAACTAGTTAATGACAATTGAAGGGAATTAATAAAGCAGCAGCGACAGAAACAATACAAGTATACATACATTAATAGGATTGGCTGGCAACGGTACCAAAAAGTTTGTAGGATATGGATAATCGGTCATGGCAAGGTACGACCAGGTTCCAGACAGCCACGATATTAATTGGTCTACTGAATCCGGGGATAAAGGTTGACATAGACGGAATGTCTTTGAAAGCCAATTACAACCTTCATCTATAAAAATAAATATAAGAAAGAAATCAAAAGAACTTTAATTAAATATATAAAACAGAAGTAAAAACTCAAGTTGTTTATCCAAAGTCAAAACAACAGCTTAAGCATTTTATCGTATAGTTTTTCTGTATGAATTTAATACCGGTTTTCCCTAATTTCCTGATGATACTCCACGATCTCCGTATGGACTGAGAGCAACTAGGTGAAGCTTTATAAAAATCTTTAGTAACAATTTGATTATAAACATTGCAAGGTGTGAGATTAGTAAATTGTAAAATTGGTCCGCTGGATGATATGGCTCTGGCAAAGATAAAATAAATTAGCGCGAATCTATATTTTTAAAGAATGAAACAGAAATGAAAAAAAAATCATACCCAGCTACTAAATGAGGATACTTCATTCTCATCCAAGCTGCTAACATGGCACCGTATGAACCTCCAAAGACAATCACTGAACTGCTCGAAAAATTAGCTTTAAGATGCTGAATCAAAACAGCATAATCGGCTAAGGCTTGTTCAGAAGTTAGATAACCCAAATAAGTAACATTCTTTAAAGAAATAAATAATATTAAAATTCATTGTGGTTGAATTACATATGAATCTGAATTTTTATCTTAAATAACATCTTTATATATCGTTTTTATAAAAAATAGAAACTATTTTTTTCCAAAATTTTATGAATTTTTAAATAGGTCTATATCAATCAAACGTAGTCTTACCTGATATGCTTTAGATCCATAAGGTAGTGACTGGCCGTAGTATCTATGTTCGGCAAATACAACTATAGCTCCAAATTCTTGAGCAAACTCCCACATTATACCCTAAATACAGTATTCAAATAGAATTTTTTAAAATTCAGCTAAATTTTACTGAATAGGCTACACTCAAACAAGTCGTTTATTCGATTTCTAGATACACGACAAGCGAGCTAGTTTTATTTAATTGTATAAATTAAAAGGTTGAATAAGATTATTGTATTCTTTATAACAGTGATTCTCAAAGTAGGTACTACCGCTCCTCGAGAACACTTTGGGACTCACTGTTATAAAGCAATAAGCTTGTGCACAGCGTCTGAAAATATCTTAAAGTACTTTATTAATTAATATAATGTCACATGTTTCAAAACTTTTTAAGTTCAATAATAAATTTTTTCTTTCAAAATTAATTTTTGCCTCCCTTGTCTTCCAACACACCTATTACTTCTTGCCTTCCAGTGCCTTCTTTTAGTCTTCTACCGCTCCCAATATATGACTTTATATTAATTAATAAAGTACAGTACAGTATAGTACAGTACAATATACTGTTTTATTTCAATTGTATAGTATTTAATATCTTTTCCTCCCAAATTGGCGGTGTTAATCCGTGTGCACGGCCTTGAATTCGATCAATTATTATCGCTCATTATTCTCTATTAAAGTTACGTGAAATATTTACCGTATTATTCGCGAACATGGAGATATCCCCTTCATTTCCCGTATAAAAAAATATCGGGCCGTCTTTACCATTCCAATGATCATCAGAGAACAGATAACGTTGGCGGAAAGTATCTTGATTAGAATATCCGAAATGATCCACCTAAGGAAACATTTTATAATAATAATAATAATAATGAATTAAAATTTTATTAGTCTATTTGGAAATAGTAAAAAGTTAATTTAAGCCTACCTTCTGAACGAAGAAACGAGTCTGATACTGAAAGGTGCTACAACATTTTAAACACAGAAGAAAGGCGGCGATATACTGTATGACTTTCATAATTTTCTGACTGAAATAAACTATGTAATCTTAATAACATTCATTCGAAATGATATTTTGATCGAGTCTACATCATATCATTAATACTTTGATCAGATAAACGGGTCAAAGATTTTTCTATAATCTTTGGTTCGGCTATATTTTATTATAACAACAGACTGTCAGTTCTGTTTGACTTTAAATGATTCATTGTAAACTCGTCTAATTAGGTTAGCCAAGTTAAGTTATTATTTTATAATCATAGCCTATATAAGATCTAAATAACCTAAGCTAATTGAATGCATAATATTTGAAAGAAGAAAAAAAAAAACTAATTTTGAAAAGACGATCCGAAATGTTAAAACGGCCCACGGTGAATATAAATGTAAGTTGTATATATCTCAGCGAGTGACATACGAGTTTATTTTGGAAGAAGACTGGTCGGCGCCTGCCAAAATTACGCAATACTGACGTCAGATCTGGAAAGTAACTGTCTTCGAAATAAGTATAATTCGACGGAAAATCCTTTTATTTCTTAAAATTTCTATATAAATTGCATCGTATATTATAAATTCAACGTTTTTATTTACGTCTGACGATTAGGAAGTTGGTTCCCGGAATGAAGTGACGAACTAGAGTTTAGATTCGGGTAGATTTTACCAGCGATAATGCTCATTTTTCGCAGTTTTTAGTTCAAAGATCTGTTTATTTAGAAGAGAGGATTATGTTTCTTCTATTAGTCAATAAAAAAAATCGTTTTGGAACCGAATATAATATACATTTAAAACATTCTTTGATAGATAATTCATAAATGTGAAGTTATCGGTAATAACAAACTATATAAATATATATTCCACTTATAAACATTTTGATATTTAAGACTAGGACAAATTTAGTTCTTTTGGCGTACTCGTTCGAACAACATTAACAACAAAAGTAAGCGGATTTTCGCTCCTAAAAATACACCGAATGAGAACACTCGAAGTAATGAGAGCAAATTCGAAATAATAACGGTGTTTCTATGATTTTGATTTCTGACGGAAGATGGCGACACCGGACGAAACGAGCTTCCTCGACGATTACCATTCCGCGACCTTGAAACTTCATCTCTCGAGCGATTTGGTGAATAATTCTGACCAATTAGCGAAGTGGAAAATATTCGCCCAATTCTCTTTATCAGATAAACGGAGCGAAGAGAATGATGGCAAACATAACAGGCATTGTTCGAAAAACCATTGCGGTGATCACGTGAAGTCTATTGTAATCGGACGGTAAATATAATCCCGTTCAACCTGCCGAATGGAGGAATGGAATAAATCCGAGTTTCGAGAATGCACAAAAGGAAAACATGCGCTTTCGGATTTATCAATCTTCCGAATTTTTCATCCTTAATCGAAACGATTGTTTTCAATATATGCAGACCATTTTGTTTCGTCGTTCAGCTCCCCGAAAATTCAAATTCCTTATACAATTTATATCGATTTTCAAGCGATACTTAATTTCCTGTACAGAAAAAAAGTAAAAAAAATCGGAAAATGCCAAACATGACGGCGTTACTCTATCTACATGCATCGGCATACCAAACGATTCGTTATTAGAGACGAAAGATTCGATTGAATGCTTTTTAAGAATAAAAATTACTGTATCACGAATAGTGGCGGTTATGCTATACATTCGTATATTTGTAACGCGGATATTACTTGGATTATTCGACACTTTAATAAATCATTTTAATACAAATAAATTATTGAAAGTCGCCTAATAATTTGTATGTTTATTCCTCGTGATCTCAGGAAGAAAAAATTTAACTCTCGTTAAAAACACTTGCGAGAGAACTTGCCAACAATCGTAATTTTAGAAATTCGGATATTCGATTGTTTAATAAAGAATAACGATAGAAAAACGTCCAGTAGGAGTACATTTAACGTGAGTTGGACTTCTACTCGATTACGTAGTTTTTACAGGAGCATTTAAGTTCTTAAGAGGATGCACCGGAAAAAATCGTGTTTATTACACTGTTATTTTTAATCATATAAATGGCAAATTTGCTTCGGCTAGGTGAATGTTTTCTCTCCGGATGAAGGCAACGACCTAGTTACATCCGAGAACGTCCTGGAGAGGAGCCCTAATTATATTGGCGGCTGGCCCTAACCGACTAAAGTAATCCGATCTTTGTTACAGTGTGAATAGACGATCGTAAGTGGCATAAGTAGTATAAGATAGATTACCAAAATAAAATTCTTCGATGAGTTATACTGATTATTTTTTTTTTTTTTCAGGTGTAGGTTATTGATTTCATCTTCGCGGGAAAAATTGTACGAATAAGAATTCTAAATGGAGATGTTATTATTATTTTATTTTTTAAATATATTTAAATTCTCAACTTTTCAAGTGCATAGACACAAGAAAAGAAGCTATTTTGTGATGTTTTCTGGAGATGTAAGTGAATTATATAAAAGATTTAATAAATGATTTCCAGTATTCTGTACAGTACATTCTTTTGATAAGATAAGAATTCACATATAACCGTAGAAAAAGGGGGAGGAACCTTTCTATAGGAGTTACATTAACTACCTTACGAGAAATTGAAATCCCTTCAACTTCCTCGACAGCTTTCGATTTTAACAACTGTTATATTCCGAGAAAATATCTTCATTTCCCCTCCTATGGCCACGCCCTCAGGCGCCATCATATGCGCATTGCCTTTCCTTTCTCGCTTTTCCACCGGTTCGCCTCTAATATTGCTTTTCCATTCGTAACTTCTTATCATCGTCGGCAGATGGCGACAGAATAATTTTATACTTTTAAGAAGAGTCTCAAAAGCATAAAATATTGGTTTTTTTTTCAGACGAGCCGTGAACTTTGAATTATATATTAAAAATTAATATTCGCTATCGATCGATACTCTGGCTTTTCAGAATTATTATGAAATTTCGATATTTAATAAACTATCAATTCATACTCTCCATTTTATTCGTTCTGTTATTACCGAAAAACATTTCTATTGGAAAAATAATCATTGTCTACGTCATTTCCATCGAATTTCATTTTCTACACGGAGTCGATCCCGCAGCCTTAGTAGTTTTCTGGTCTGCGATTGGTCCATTTCATAAATGACGCCGAGCGTCAAAGTCGGCATAATGTTTAACTGGAAAAGCACTATGACTTCTTCCACCGCTATTTCCAGCATTTTAGTATGACATTTGGTTCTATTTACAATAATATATACGTTTTATATAGTTTCTGTCGAGTGGTTTATATATTTATCAATGGTTTTATTAGAAAAATAGACGTTTATAGGCAATAAAATAATGCACCGGACACAATATGCCAAAATAAGATTTTTTTACTATACAACCTTCGGCAAAAATACTTGCAATTTCTAAAATCTTTAAATTAAAATGTTCTCAAATATTTTAATTAAAAAAATGATAAAAATATTTTCAAATTTTATCTAAATTCTATTTAAACTTAATTTACAGGTAAAATTCGAGATTTTGTACATAAATAAAGTACTGTACATAATTGGCGAAAGTTTCGCTGCCAGAATGGATTTGCCAGGTTCCAGCGCAAATTCGACAGCCGTATTTTTTTGTTCATTTTTAGCTCGTTATAAAAGAAACTTTGCTTGTACAGAGAAATATGTCCGGAGAGAGTCTAAATGACCGAAAAGGTGAGGCGGAGAGGAGGACGAACGAGTCTTCCTCCCTCCAGTTAGCGTTTGGTTGACGATATTACGGAAGAGGAGATCTCTCTCGGTCAGTAATTGTTTGTCTGCTTTTTCAATTTTCAGCCCAATCGATACTCTGCGACCGCGTCTACTCCACAAATTACTTCTCGGATACGTTCCTCCGCTCTAAATAAACAAACACTCCTGGACCGACCGCGATTTCATTGGGTCGGGTGGGTCTTTTCCCTTTGCTCCACAGAAGACAAACCGTTTCCGGTGGCTAGGAGAGGAAACCTTGTCCAGAAAAAGTGGGCTAGAATACCAGTGAATCGATAGAAAAAAAACGGTAGGGGAGAGCAAGACAAAATAGATGGTTCCCTACCTGAAAGAGTCTACACGAGCGCTATCTTTTACAGTCACTTAAAAACTAACCTAACGCTTAAATTAAACGCCTATTATATACACCACTATCCCATCTTGACGGTAAACGTTTTAGCGTTTGAGCTTTGAAATCTGCTCAATAGATTCACCATTGAGAGATTTCAAAGAAAGTAACTTATAAAGAAATTTACTGAATCGAAATGTCGGTTGCCATTAAGTAGAAAACGATTACTAACCATCGATAAGTATATCCTAAATGCTTTTCTTTTCGATTGTAAAAAAATAAATATTTCGGATTATCTTTAGAGAGAGTTATGAATCGATTTACACTCTCAAGTTATAAGTTGGAAGAGAGACGACCTCCATTTTTGATCCGGTTACGTAATATCAATATAATAGAACATTTCATCCATTGTTTACTTTTAATCATCATTGACGTGGAGGATCGAATTCAAAATGAACAGGAATACCATATTTAAATAACTATTTGTATCTCCGATCATTTTCTACGACAATTTATCATTTAATTTTCATAAATTGATTGGCGATACGAGACTATTATTCACAGCAATGATATATAGGCTATATATATAGCCCTACTTATTAATCTTTATTAGTTTTCTTACTGACACAATTATTTATGGTACTGGAAAAAGAATGCGAGATAAACTATAACTTTAGTGTATTATATTTGTTTTAGAAGAAAATCCGTTTTAAATTAAAAATATTTCTAAACTCTTGATTTAATTAATTTTGTATTCTTTATTTTCTTTAATTTAAATTTCGACATAAGCATATTTTGATGAGAAAATTTTTAAAAAGAATAAGATATTTTATATTAATTGTTATTCTTTATCTTATCCTTCGTGTCAAAAACTGAAATAAATAGAAATTTATATAATTTGTTTACATAAGAGTTTGTTAATACATATAATGAATTTGTTTATATACATAGAGAAGATATAAATTAGAACTTAGCCTATATGTTATGGAAAAAATAAATTTTAACAATTGTAACTTAAAGTCGGAGTTTTTTTAGGAAGATCGATTCTTGTTTCTAACAAATTTCATCGAATTCTCTGACAACGATTGTATCCTATAGTCGAAATGACTACCTGCCGATATATTTCTTCCTTCATGTATTCGTAAATCTGTTTTATTCGTTTTTTATCTAAATCTGTTCTGCATTCAATCGACGGCAAACACCATCTCGCCGCTCTCATTATTCTGCAATAACTTCTCATTTTCGAAGCGTGGCCAATTTTTCGCCCACTTACAAATACAGTAGTGTCGAGAAACAATATTCAAAGAACGGACAAGTAAAAATAACGCAGTAATTCGCATTCTTTATTATAAAACGTACGGGTAAATACGAGTTAGATAACTAAAAATCCCATATTTTATATATTGATAAAGAGTAACCATCAAAATCTTTATGAACTATAATAATATTTCAAAGAGATTTTTATTTCAAAGAGATTTTATTATTATATTTAGTGCAATCGCTCTTATGATCAATGCTTGTAATGTATAGTAGTTTGTATATGAATATCGAACTAAATAACATACTCGTCGTGGGCAAGATGACTGTTTTCCTTATTTTATATTGTGCTTTTTAAGCAATATTTTGTTAGACTTATAAATGATACCAACAAGGATGACTACGTACCTGTACTTGAATATTTTATTGAAATTTAATAAAAATATTTATAAATATATTGAAAAAAATCACCTAAATTAATCATTAATCATAAAAATATCCTTTGCTTTCATTCAAGTGTCTGTTTTCATTAGTTAAGCAATAGAAAAATGTTATATTTGTATTCTAAATGGAACATATATTTATGACGATATCGACAAGTTTCGATGACATATTTAGTAGAAGATAAAGAGAATAAAATGGCGAATGCGTTATCTTTAGACTAAATAAACGAGCAATACCTGTAGAAAATGTTTGACGAGTCATAAAATTAGTTTCTTATGAAAAATATATGAGTGAAATTATGTATATATAAAATACTTAAATATGATTAGTGCTTAATAAAGAATAGTTAAAGTTATGGTTTAAGAATGCTAGGCATAAATAGCCATGTCTTCCTACATTTTTCACTTATTCTTCGTTGGATTCTTCTGATAATTTTTTGTTTTGTTCTTATCTCTTTTTCCTTCAAAATTTGACAGATATTATCATAGTTAATAAATTACTCTATCTCTTATATAATATTCCATATAAGTTATATACTATATTATTATCTTACATAAGTGTAATAATTTTAGGCCTATCAAAATGTGTAATTTTATTTATTTATCCCCTCTATATGACATAAAATGATTTAAAATTAGGCCTATTCGCTTTATTTTTCATTAAAATTTATGTAGCAAGATTTATGCATAGATAATTATAATGCGAATCATATTAATGTGATTAATATAATTAACGTACAGATTAATATTTGTTAACATGCACAGATTGAGAGATGAAAATTGTTTAAATTATAACAGCAACGGAAAATTCAAATATGAATTTGATTAATTACAATTTTCGTAAGAAAATATCGTATATTTTTATCTCTTTCTCCGATTTATTTATTAAACGTGTTGACTTATTTTAATAAATAAATAAACGAAATTAATTCTATAACCATTTTCTCCTTGCTACATGTTTGTATTATTAAAAATTATTTTTAATCTTTTCAAGTAAACTACTGCAATTTCATATATTCATGTTAAACACATTAAATTAAGATGTTCTTTAAGATTTACAAGTAAAATAGTGGGACGAAGAAGTAAGATTTGCATTAGAATACATTTTTAATTAATTTAATGTATTATTTCTTCGAATTTTACTAGTACTAAATTATATTTGGAATTTCCATTGAATATTCATCTCGTCTATTTACTTTTCCGTATTCTTACAAGCCTGTATTGATTGAATAGTTGTTTTTCTTATATATATAAATCTAATAAAAATCAGAACATAATTATTTAAATCTTTACTGAATATTTTGGCAAAATCAATGAAAATAACCGTATATATTGTATCTATAAAAAAGAACAATGAAAGTAAAGACTTTCTATAGATAAATGAAAGTTAAATTATTTTTTCATTATCAGAAGAGTTTCGTGAAATTAATTTTATTCTTTGCTTCTCGTCGAAACATTCTTTGTTAAATTCATGTAACAACTGTGCTTAAATGCACTTTGATTGACTGTTTTTCTATGATGCAAATGAAGGAGGCGCCTTACTCTATACGACAGGCAAATTTATATGATATTATACATGTATTTGAGGAAAAAAATACCCTGACCTATGACTTTTTAGGCACTTTTCCGTCAAAATGTTCGTAATTGTGATGAATAATCGAAATTTGTAACTGCCTATTATATTAAAAACTCGATTATGGCAATATTAATGAGGATTATTTCTAGGATATGTCTTAATGTTTTGATAAAACTATCGTAATATATTTTGCTATATCTTTCAAGTAGAAATCTCTTTCCTCATTTGACTTTCGGAGGAAAAGAAAAGTGACGTTCGCATGTGTCCGGAAGGCTCTGTGTAACGGAATGGAAGCCGGTGGTTCGCGATCACGTGACATCGAATTATATAAATTACATGCAAGCTTCTTCATAAGATTGCCTAAATACATAAACTTTAATTTTATATTTATCTCGATATAGTTTGCCTTAAAGATTTAATCACTGTAGATTCTGTTTAACAGGTCTTAAGAATTTTCAATATCTTCCTTGCGCTCGGCGTCGTTCGACACGCTCTAATTACCTCTTGTAATATCTTTTTTTATTGTGTTCGAAGGCCCACGGGCTCGATTATCCGGGCAATGAGGGAAAGTGAGCTAGAAGGCGCGTGTTTATCGTGGAAGCGCCTAGACGAGAGGCGGAGGGGCGGTCGCCGATTTAATAATTCGTCGATTAAGTCGTCGTTAATTGGAATCCGCCGGCGCAATGGGCGCAAAAATGTCATAAGGTCGAGCAGCAGGTGTCGTTATCTGGCTCGGGAAGGGGCGAGCGTCACTTCCAATTAGTTTCTCATCAGCAACGTCCTTATGAGATTCCGCACTAACAGCGGCTGGTATTTAATAAATCCTCGTGTCACACGGACAAATTACGGCAAGCACGCCGTAATTGAACTAACACCCATTCTGTCGCTGCAGCTCGGATGGAGAAATTGAGCTCATTAGAAATCCAGTGCATTGAGGGCCACGTGCGTATCTGCCTAATCTGCCGATGACGAGGGAGGAGAACTACTAATGGTCAAGCGCTAATCACATTAGCTACGCTTTTTCTTTCAACCCTTCTCTTATCTAATCGCCTTTGTCACCGACCCGACACTTCGTCCACGCCAATGCCAATTAACCCCCAATTAATCCGGCGGGCCCTTCTATATCTCTGGGCCTTGAAAATTAGGCATTAGATCGATGGCGGGCCGGCGAAGTTGACGGCGAAAGGAGCGGGCCGAAGGGAGGAGAGTCGGAGAAAAGAAGAGAATCGATTTTAATTGGTGGAAGACGGAGGAGGAGCCGGAATCGGCGGGTAATGCGATAAAACAACAGGGCCGGTCTCTTCTCCGGGGACGGGCGCGTGCGTGGCCGGTGTTGCCCCAGCAGCCCATTAATTCGACTCGACTTGTTAGCGGTGGACATCGATCCCCGCGTTGCATACTTCGCCTCATTTGCCAACTATTTCTGGTATTTTTCATTTCGACGCAATCACGCGGCCCGGCGAAATCCGATCGCTGCCACTCCAATTGAAAAGTTACCGGAACCGCAATCGTCGCTGTTTATGAGTTTTGCAATAAACGCTCTCCTCAATTTGAAGATGTAAAAGAGCTGGCGCTGCCCGGAAACACCTCCACCATCCAATAACGGTACCTTTAAGTGAATTTTTATTAGATTGGCTTCATTTCGGGCCGGATACGGCCGGGCCCGAAGCAGGCGCTCGACTAGGCGACCGAGACGTCGGCCCCTCAATAGCTTTTGCACCACTCGCTCGAATGGCGGGAAAGGCAAACAGCCGGCTCGGGCCTCTCAAAAGATCTTTTATGCGTCTGTTTGTTCGTCCGCCGGTAGAATCCCCCCTCCGTGCACCGGGAATCCCGATCACATCCGCCGCGTCGACCACCAATGACCAGCCTCGACTCTACTCGGCCGGCGCAGACTCGGTGTAACGAGCTTTGCCATTGGTCCTTTCGACGTCCGTCGGCCGCGCCTTCCATCGGTCTTATAAAGGAAACGGCGACCAGGAAGGGCGGCACTCTCCCTCCGGCCCGACACCAGCGATCCGGCCCATGGACGTCGGGCACGATTGTAAGTAGTGTTTGTAAGCCGGTCGAAGATGCCCTCCGGTTACTAAACCACAATTTATTTTTGTTAGGCGAACAGAAGGCCAGCCGCATCCTCCGGCCGCACTCCACTCCTGCCACTTTGATGTGGTAAGTCTTCCCTTCTCCGTCCCACCCACTGCCCGCGCCCTCTAATTGTCTGCCAACTTTTCAGGTTGGAAGAGAATTACGAAGTAGCCGAAGGCGTGTGTATCCCTCGCAGCGCTTTATACATGCATTACGTGGATTTCTGTGCCAAGAATGGCATGCAGCCCGTTAACGCCGCCAGTTTCGGAAAGGTGAGTTCTTACCTGTACAGTACTTTTCCTTTTAACTTGTAAAAAACTAACAAGAATTGATATCAGATCATCAGGCAACAATTCCCTCAATTGACTACTAGACGTTTGGGAACACGGGGACAATCAAGGTAAGTTTTTATGTTTGGAAAGGATTCCTCTCATCGTTCACTTACTTTATCATTTGTTCTAGATATCATTATTACGGCATCGCTGTCCGAGAATCATCTCTATACTTTCAGCTTTCTTACTCCAAAAAGGGCACTGGCAGGTAGGCCTTATCATAAGTTTTCGCTCTATCTTGCACGGTGAGTGATGTGGATCCCAATTTATCATCGTGTGGGCATCCGGGATGTTTCTGCACTCATATTTCCTCTTGCATCTACATATTTGAGTGCAGATCCGTGTTCTTCGTCCTCGTCCTCCTCCTTTGCCAATATCGCGTTCTGGCAAGACTAGGCGTTGCCCGGCTGCGCTTAATCGAAGCGTGCTTCCGAGTCCAAGCTATTTATGGTTAGGGAAGCTTGCAATAACGATCCTTCCTCTATCGAACGCATCCTCTGCATTTTAATATTAGAATTTTTCCTTCCTTCGATTTCGTACCAGATTAATTTTGTATCGCTTATCGGCAATTACGGACAGAGAACGCATGACTCCTCGCATCTTTGGCATTTTCTCTTAACATTTACCTTGCAGACGTTTAAAATCAAAACCATTCCCACTTTTATAGTTTATCATAATTGTAATAACTGCACCGACGTATAAATTACTCATTTCTCGACCTTTCAAAGCGAGTGATTCTTTTCGGTTCTTTGAATATTTAAAATAGTTTTATATTAAAATAATTACAAAATTGAAGACTAGAAAAACACGGAGTCTTCTACCTCTCCATTGACTTTTTATATTTTTGCAGCAATCACGACATTCAGAGAGAAGTCAACAAACAGGTTGGTATTTTACAAACTCTCCTGTAAATAGGTCTTACCGGCCGAGTGAGTGTGTGCTACACTTCTCTTTCCAACAGATTCCTCTGTACTCTCCGAGATCGCGCCTAGGCACCGTCCTTCCAGATTTTCCCACTGTTAAAGAACTGAACCTTCCTTCTTCTATTGATGTAGAAAAGGTAAGACGGATAAATAATGTTAAACAATCATTCCTACTTTTAATATCATCGACGTTTGATATTTAGATCACCACCTTCTTAATGATGTACCGAACACATTGTCAGAGGTTGCTGGACACTATCATTCGCGGAAGTTTTAACGAGGTAACTTCTGTCCCCGACTTCGTCACTTCAGAACGAAATCGTGGACAGTATAAATTAAAATAATATATATTGTATCATCCTTTCTACTTTAATTAACGAACAGATTATCATCAGTACACTTACAAATTAATATATTTCAGGTGCAAAACTTTCTACTACACTTTTGGCAGGGAATTCCTTCTCATCTTTCGCCTCTGTTTGAGACTAATGTCTTAGTTAACTTGATTGGAGTATGCGATTCCATCTTGTATAAGGCCATTTCTAGTGTGTTGCTGCCTACTGTTTTACAAACTCTTCCAGACAGGTTAGTTCTTTTCTGGTTTCAATCGAATTACACAATTTCATGCCTTAATAAATAACTTAACTAGTAAATCCAATGTTTATATGCATTGGTTTTTAATTTAATAGGAAAAAAACTTTTAAAAATGATTATTTTGTCAGCCTGAGATTTTTCTAATATCGAAATTTACCTGATTTTAACATATCTTTTGTTGCAGTTTAACTAAACTCATCCGTAGATTTGTCCAGGAACTAGACGGTTGGCTCAAAATGGCTTTAAATAACCTTCCGGAGGGTCTTAAAACCATTAAATTGGAAAGTGAGTCGCTGATTCGGTCTTTTTCTTAATTAAACAAGAATAAAGACGATTTTTATTTTCTAGTGGCCAAACGTTTCGCTCAAGTATTGCGTAGACAAATGTCCCTAAATCATTTGACCCAAGCTTCCCGAATGGTGGTCCACAACGGTGACGTCATCTCTCAGATGTTACACGATTGGAGACAAATCGACATTGATGCTATTTGTCGGGAAACTCTATACAGCATGGAACAAGACCAAAATGGACTCACTTGTCAGCTAATTAAGAAATGTATAAAGTCAAAAATATATATATATTCCGCTAAATAAGAATTTTTAAAATTTTAATTGAAAATTATCTTTTCAGTTTCCAAAGAGTTCGAATCCTTGTTGGAGGAGGAAGGCTCGATGGAAGCCTACGTAGAATGGTTGGAGGCTTTGGTTAATAAATGTATTCTATTGGTAAGTCACATTTGTTTATGTCGAGGTATTTTTTTGATCTAGACATGACGATTTATACATTTTCAGCCGAGTAGTAACGCCAGCATTTCCGTGCGACGTTTGGCAAGTCAATTTCTATTGACATGGTCAGCTTTCGGAACTCGGGTAATCAGGGACATGACATTACACAGCGCAGCTAGTTTCGGTAGGTTTTTTTCGAAATTTATTCAATAGATTTCGTAAAAATAGCGTTTTATTCGAGATTTTCTCTGTAGGTTCTTTCCATCTTTTGCGTTTGATGTTTGACGATTACGTGCTGTTTCTAGTGGAGACTATACACATAGAAGAACAAGTGAAAGAGTTTTTGAGGAATATTGCCAACGATATGCCTCCACAAATACCGGATACTTATTTGGCAGGTAATTTTTATATTGGCAATTATGAATAAGTTTCAATTTCAATTTTGAATATCTAATATAATAATTCGTTTTCCAGTTATTTCGATCCCTTTAGCATTAGACTTATTTTAATAAATTCTTTCTTAAAAGCAATTATATAGGCGTTTTAGAGTAATTATTAATATGTTTCTAATCTTTGAAAATCTTTCTCTAATAATTTTTGGATACGGCACATTACGGATGTATTCTTTTACGCGGATCCTTAATTGTTCTTTTTGGTGGAAAACGGAATCAATATATAGGTGAAAACAATAAGAAACAATGTTTCTGTTCAGATTAAAAGAAAATTAATCTGTTAATTGTTGATAATAACGTTATTTTGATCGGGAAAAAGGGGAATTTTATTTTAACCGTCGATTTTAAAATAAAAATGCAGTTAAATTCTACTTTACAGGTAAGCTTAATTAGAACACTTGACGAGGTATTAACTAGAGAATTTTATATTGGACATTAGCAATCCGAGTGATCTTGATTTAGCTTAATCAGTTATAATTACGATTATTTCATTTCGGCCAAGGAGTTAATGAATCTTTGTTTAGAAACTGTCAATATTTATGTTTACGGAAAGAAAAGGTTCTAAATTATCGAATAGATGCTTTGTAGTTACAGTAAAGGATAATTGATAGATTGTTAAAAGAGGGAAAAGGCAGATCAAACGGATCGATATTTATCACTTCCGGCTATTATTTTCAACAATAACTACTACAAGAGGGTAACACAGAGGTTGTATAAGGAAGTCCGGTGTGTCCGATATCGGAGATAATTGGGAAAGCGAAAACAGATTACGATCTATATCTAACGGCGGGGAGTCCTTCTAATCAATCCCACCTTTTCTGACTCGGGCTTAAGCTAGCAAAATTGGGGATCAAAGTTTTAGGTGTCACGCGCCCTGCATTCACTCGTTTTCCAAAATAACCGTTAAAATGTCGACGAAATGGAAGATTTCTATTTGGAATACCCGAGTGGCGTGGGCAAATCTCCCGATCTTTCCACCGCTGTGCATTTGAATTCAAAGGATCTATCTGAACTAATTTGTTCCCCGACCTCTCCAAACTCCCATTACATGATTATACTACGTAAAACTCGTACAATTAATTAATTTGGTTTGTAATTTTTACAGTTATTACTATACTATAAAATACCAAAAAATCATATTCTGAAATTCTCATTTAGGAAGTGAAATAAGTCGAGAAAGAAAATCTTATTTTTATCAATTTAAAATATTATTGTTTGCAAAATAATTTACTTTTTTACTGAAATTAAAGTTTCATACGTTTAAAATTATAAAAGGAATGACCTGGTTTTAAAAGTAAGCGGTTATTTATTAAAACAATTCGCCTTTAGTAAGTAGAGTATACATAAAATGCAAAACGAATCAAACACTAATTCATTAATTTCAAAAGATATAAAAATTCTATCCATATTTCAGTTATTTTACACTTAAACACTGCTTTTGAAATTTAAATCAGACTAAAAATAAAATTTTCAGGAGCAGAATATTCTCAAATTCCTTTTGGTTTAGACACGTCATACAATACTAGGGAACAGTATAGCAACATTTCGACTATTTCCAATCAAGAGATACCTATGACATCGGGAACATCTCGAAGACGTAAGTATCTTTCGAAATTTCGAAATTAATCAATATTACTACGATTATACTTGAAAATTGTATATCTGTAGCTATGTCGACGGAGGATCAGATGACAAATAATTATTGGATTTCCGGAGAATATTGCCAAAAGTAATTGTTTTTTTAAAACTACAGGTAATTATAAAATAACTTTTCGATTTCTACAAATAGTTCGATTGTTCAGTTACTCTCAAGGAGAAGACACACGCAATTCTTGGACACAGTCGGTCTGCGCCAGGGAAGAGAGTGCATCTCATCAGGTGAGTAAGAATAATTGATAATACATACATATATATACCATTCCCTTGAACTAAACTGTATATGTCTTATTTATAGCAATATCTAGTGGGTAGTCACGAAGCGTCTTCGCCTAACGAAGCTCTTAGTCAGAGAAACGAAGCTTGTCGAAGTGGATCCGCCGACAACGGGTAAGGATTCCGAAATTTCTAAAAATCACGCATTTCTGTTCGACTTTAAAATCTTTCCACTCGTAGGTATCATTATTATAATTTGCCCCAGCAACAAGAAGAGAGTAGCGCTTTCCATCCGGACAACGGAGTCCCTTATTATAATGCTTACAACCTGCAAGGACAATACCGACAAAGAAATGCGGATGTCTCGCGACATCACGTGCAGAACAGAAGCGACGTGGTAGTTTACTGCGATGGTTAAAGTGAGTTCGAGTGCTCGACCCCGCCGCGTTGATGGACAGTTTGATTATGTGTCTCGTTATTGTTCTGTAATGCTTATTAGATCCAATAAACGGATTCCTCGTTGTGCCTGTCCTAACGTTGTTATTCGGTGTCTCTGTTTCCCCAAGTGCCGATAATCTGTCATCCTAAAACCGTTCTTCGCAATTACTGTACACATAATATACCCTGTAAGATACATTATACACTAATAAGAAATTTATTTAAACGGCACTCTATACAGTTTAATACGGCATTTAATACGCATTTATCACATATTAACATTTCACTTGATTAAGCCGCTCACTATATTCATCGGAAATGTAATTGTATTATACAGTAATAATAATAACAATAATACAGAAGAAACTAAGTTTTATTTACAATTTCTTCCTAGATGTTTACGGTAATTAATTTCAAATTATTTTTAATAAAAAAAAAGTAATGTTTACACATTTTATATAAATGAAAAGAAAACGTTCCTTCAAAGGATAAAAACGCGTTGTTTTTTATGTTTAAAAATTATTATTAAAATTAATTAACGGTAAATTTTAATATATTACATCTTATTTTTATTCGAGAATGTTAAGAGTTTTATAAAAATTGAATAATTATATGAATATATACATTTATTAATTCGTAATAAACAAAGCATCGTTTCGATTGTTTCTCATTGTAAATTTTTCTTATAACACGAAAAAAAATGTGTGAAAAATCGAGATAAGAAAATGAAAATAAAAACGCTAATCTTTCCGAATTTATTTAACGTAAAAATTCTTTCCGCTCAAATAGATTTTCCAAGCAAACAAAAACGTAGCATATGTGAATACTAAGTTTATATTTAGAGCGATTATCAGGAGTCGTTCCAAAACATACAACAATTAAAGAATGAGATAATTTGAAGAAAACAACGCCTACGATATAAAGTTTATAGAAATTTTACGTCATAAAATACGTTTGATTTCATAGGAAATGAAAATTGGAACGGCTAAGAAATTCTTTTCTCGTTGAATTCTCACAGATATCATTTAAACAATTACTTATAGAAAAACCGAATGCCTCGATTCTGGAGATAGAGGAAAAATACAGGTAATCGTTCATTCGAAATAAACAATTTTAATACAGATAATAGACAATAAATGATTGTGTAATTGTATTGCCATACCAAATCAGTACATTTAAAAAACATTCGACCATCGATAAAGAAAAATATTTTTGATTTTCAAGAATTATTATTATTATAAACGAAGTTAAAGCCGTTTTTTGGATGGGTAAAACTATTCATTAACTCATTACTTCGACTGAACTTATCGATCGGTTTTATACCACATTGTACTACTAAAACGATACTCGTGCCATCTGGTTTTGTTAACCGAAACTATTTTTGTGGTTAAAAAATTAGTTTATGATGATATGAGCCTATGGGAACAGAGGAGGTTGATTTTTCCGAAATTTTATACAAGTAAAACACAAGTAGCAATATTTAATTTGCCACTATTGATAATTTTTTAATCTTATTGCTTTCTCTGGGTTTTTGTTCTCGCTTTGCCCGAATTTGTAAGGACATTTACCCTTCTGCTTCTCCGACTCGTACGTCCATTGTTCTCTGTATATTTAATTAATTTTTTAGCCATTTAAAATAATAATAAAAAGTTGCTTAAAATGTATTAACTATAAAAATAAGACATTTTATGTTATTTTATAATTAATTTTATTCTCAGACGAGGAAAAAAGATGCGACGAATTAGTTAATTAGTTCGTAACTTATAAGAATTTTATAAATAAATTTTTATCTTATAATTTCGTCATCGTTTCTATTTATTTCTATGTTTATTTTTAATGTTATATATTCATGAAACTATTACGGATATCGGCTTACGTTTCCGAGATATTGATCAGTAAACTGAAAGCTTTTGATTGAGGAATATAAACAATAAAGAATAAATTTTATTTCTCCTTTGTCTCGTATATTTTAATGTTTTTTAAATTACTACGGAGACCAATTATTCATTTATATAATTTTATATTGTATTTAACTGGTTTTCTTTATTGATTAGGAATTTATTTTATGGTACTGTACATTTCTTTCTTTAAATTTTTATTACCTTTTATACATTTTGTATCTTGCTTCAGTTTTATATTAAATTTATAACAATAATAAATAAATAAATCATTTTCAAAATGTTTTTTGAGGTTAATGATATTAACTTTAGAACAGTTATTGCATTAGTTTAATTTTAGTTTAACTTATTAATAAATATAGTACTACAGTCAACATCGGGTTTATTCAATTAATAAGCGGTAAGATTTATCACAAAACAATCTTATAAATATTGTAGTAACATTAAAAAGATGTCTATTTTTGTCTTTTATGTGAAATATAGGCCTAATGATCAAATGAAATTTTAATAATGTAAGGAAATTTTGACACAACTCCTTTCCTGTCGGCTTATAACGGCCTATCATTCAGTATTTAATGTCTTCGTTTATTTATGCTTATATCTGTGACAATAAAATGGCGCTTTCTTTCTGGTTTAAAACCTTAAATTATATCCTTCCAAATATACCATATATCATGTAATAATAATACAAATATAAATGTAATACTTCGATAACAGCGTACGATGATATCTACGATGATGCTAGAAATACTTCTCTGTCATTGTTTATTTCTTCAAGATTTAAATGTATTATTATTTTTATATTTTATAAATATAGATCTTATCATTACTATTTTTATACAATTTTTTAGAAAATATATTTGTATAAAAGAAACTTTTTTATTTATAATAATGTCGATATCTATATTAAAACATTATTTCTAATTATTGTTCAAAGCGTTGTATAAATTTATTTTATGTAGTCTATTACTTTTTAACATATTAAGATCTATTTATTAATATTAATATGCTATTAATATGAACATTTATAGAATAAATATTAAGAGTATTATCGTTTAACATTTGAATTTTCATACTAAAGTTAGAGTCTATCAAGTTGATATCGGTCGGCATGGCTAGGAATAAAATAAGACACTGGTGTAAACTGTGGAAGACGAATGTACAGTATTGTACTTTAATAATAGTAGGAATATTTTAAATTTAAAAAAAAAAAAAAACATGATGCTCCAAAAGAAATTATCAGTGAAAAATTATGAAGAACGAAAATGGTTCAGAATGCAGATTCATCACGGTGTAAATCTCTTACTAAACAGTTATTCGAATGACAATAACATAAAATAATAATAAAGTAAAAACTATTTCTGTAAAAACACTATTCGGCAACTTTCGTATTGTAACTGATTAAAGTTCGGTAAAAACATTATTAATACATTTAAAAAAAAACATTTTAACGAATATAGACAGTTAGAAATCATTGATATCCCGTTATAAAGTTCAAATTTCAAGAAATATATTTTCTGTTGTGTTAATGTACTGTACAAGATTATCTATTGGATTAAAAACTTGAACAATCTTCTAAAAATAACAATTTATATAATTTATAACTATTTCACTGCTTAATTGCATATTAGTTTTGATATAATTAAATTTATATATAAAATAAATGAAAATTTGTAATATTTTTCAATAAAAATAACGCGAATAAACATTTTATAGTTTAAATTTTACCATCTTTTAGTAAAGCAGTAATTTTATAAAAACTTTTTTTTTTAAATTTAGTTTTCAATTTTTGGATAACATCTTTAAGTAAATTCAATATTGGCAATTTAAGTGATAAAAATTTTGAGTAACTGAGCTATAAACCCTCTCTTTATTTCTTCCTAATGCATTGAGTTCTGTACTCCAAAACAATATCATCAATGTCCTTTACACTCAAGTTACTAGTCTTTATCCCATCCTGAAATATCAAGCGAAGTAGGCTATATGCCAAAACACAAACACATACAAATATCTCAAGAATCTCCACTTTTTGATATTTTTGGATTTAGGGGATCTCATAACGTCAAGATTTGCGTAAAATTCGAAGGGTCAAATTTGACACGATTACAATACTTTTCCGTGTTAATACTGTACAGTACATAAAAGTAAAATAATGATAATTGCTTATTATTAATAGAAATAATTTTATTAAACTGTCATTGTAATAGTTATATATAAAAACATAACATTGTCTTTGTTAATTATTACCTGAATCTCCTGTAACGTTTTAGGAATCTGCTTTCTTTATGGGCATTTTTACTGTTGCCTCAATTTGTTTCTTTGTTTGCACGATTCAATTGACATTAATTACGACAAGCCTCTTGAAAATAGCGAAACAAATAGAGATTACGATAAAATATGTGAGGCTATTTAAAATTGTCTCATTGCATCTACTAGGTCAGTGCCGCAAGAAGAAAAAGGTTCCGCAACCTTTTTCTTCTTGCGGCACACCAAAATATTATTTTCCTCAAAAATGTATATGATACTATTAATTAATAGAATTACATAATGCTACGAACCTATTATTATTATTATTAAACAGACCAACACCTGTGAGCAAATTTATTTTACATTTAATTTCTTAGAATACATAAAAACGCGTGGCTTGTAATAAAGAATAAACAAACATCGTCTTATTTCATCAGTGCTGCGGCAGAAAATGAAATACAAGCATAAGAAACACAGCAACTGTCTTCTCGAATTGCACTTTCAAAATAACTACACTTTACCAACCTTTAATATGCAGTCAATTTTATTAACGTAATCTAACGTTTTTGGTCAATTAATTGACCGAAAACGTGTGTAAAGTATAGTCACAGCAACTGTGATAAAAATATATAAATAAAACTTGAAATTAATAGAATATGTAAAAGTTTACGTCACACCGGTTGCGGAACACTGTACTAGATTATTGAAATTGCTTCTAATTTTGTATTAACCAGACTATGACGAATAACTTTCTAATTTAAAGAGGAGATTAATTTACAACTTTCAGCTGATAAATTTTTCGGATCCAAAAATTTAGGATTAAAATGTGTGAGAAAATGACCTGATTAGCCTAAATTTTTTTCGCAACATTCAATACATATAGACAATACACT